AAGCTCTAAGTTTGCAGGATCAGACCCAGAGTGGTGAGTTTGAAGGGGAAGGGGGAGAAATTGTTTAAATATCAGCTTCTGTTTCAAGCTCCTAGTCAATTTTGTCATTAGTAAGAATCATTAATAAAGTAGAATTTGACAGGCTCTTTACATTATTGACTTATGTTTCAAAAAACAATGTCTAAAATGCATTATTGTGAAAATAAAAGAGAAACAATTTATGTGACTCGTTCCTAATCATTATTTTCTGTCTACCTCAAAAGTAATTGTGTTTTTAAAAAAGCTGGCTGCGGTGTTAATGAAACTATTTTCTGATTTTCAGTAATAAAACTAGTTTTGCTCTATTAAAACTGTTAGGAAAAAAATTGGAATGTATTGGCATTTATTGTTTTTCTCTGCAAGCATTCCAGACTACACAGATGATTTATTTGTCACTTTGCAGGGGAAATAAAAAGTATTGCTGCTTAGATGCCTTCATAACCCTTAGACAGAGCATGTGCCAGCTTTTCCATTAGCAAAAGTGTAGAGAAATCAAGCTGCCAGGTATCCTGGGGTTAAGCAAGCTCGTGACAATCTACTGAGGTTATTTTGGTCAAAGCCATGTGTGACACATCTGATAGGAACCCAGATGAAACTAATTTGGGTAGATTAGGAATAAAAGTGCTATGATAAACCATCATCTCAAAGTTACATCAAAATAACAGCAGAGAGGGTTTGGCAGGGGTGAGTTGCCAGTTGCTTGGCTCTTGCTGTTGGGCTCAGCGTGGACACAGCTGCTGCCTACACTCTTTGGCCACTGCGCTTACGATCTGGCAAGGTGTGCATCTCCCTTTCTCAAAGCATTAGTTTTAGGTAGATACTTGTCCTCCTGCCTCCTCCTGCTGTTTGTGACTTACCTGCAGGGAGACAGCAAAGGCTTTCTTGTTACCTGCAGCAGCACAAGGGCAGTAATGGGATGGGTTGTGTAACAGCCCAGCAGGAGAGGGCAGAGGGGCCCACGCTGTGGCCGTGTCTTAGCTACAGGTCCCACGTGGGAATCCCCCCTTCAGGTAGCCAGCTTGTAGGGAACAAGGAAAATAGAGGTGTGGGAGATGTCTAGCATACGGTAATGGGAGCTCACTTATTTCCCCTGCAATTTGGAGGACAAAGCCTCCAGCACTGTAGGAGCTACCTGTTCTCTGTGTTGCCAGAGAAGGAGGCTAGAGGCATCTCCCAGCTAGTGGCAGGACAGTGAGGTGGCATACCCCCCTGCCATTTCCTTCTCTTTCTCTTCCTGTGTCTTCCCAAAGCTCCTAGGCAGCAGCTGCTCCCCATTCCCATGTTATATTGGTTCCACAGACTTGCTGGAAATTAACTTCTGCCCTGTTCTCTCCCTCCATCCCTGTGCTGGGAGCTGAGCTAATGGCAGGAACCAGAGACTGTTTTAACTTCTGTACTAAAGAGGACAGCCTTGGCATCTGAAGCTTGCGTGTGCTGCAACAAGATGCTGAAAAGCAACAAAACTGATGAGACAACTGGCAAGTTACTCAGCAACCGTGGTGAGTGTCTGGAATGAAGCTGGGAGAGCGGGGTTTCCAGCCATCCAAACAACCAGGATGTTTTTATCACTTCAGACAGGGCTGCTCCGTTGATTCTCAAAGGAAAGTTAAGGAATGGAGATAACCTGTCGCAGGATGCAAAAGCTCTTTACAGGTAGGACATGAAAGAAGGAATGTATGAATTTATAATAATATGTAAGAAGGGTAAAGAATGTGATAGCATCTTCTGTAACTACTGGTGTCTTGAACAAAATGAGGGCTCTCTGCTATTTGTACATTTTGTAAAAATGTGTATTTTTAGCATTTTGTGGAATGAAAAGTTTTATGTGCTTTCTGTTAAATGTTGCTGGCAAATGGTTGTGAGACATACTAGCAGATTTAAACACACAGGTAACAGCCTCAACTTCCCCTGGTTTTGTTCTCTTTGCTGATACCTACCTTTCCATAATAACATTTGAAAGATTTTGCTATGAACTTTTCTTTTGTTCAGGGAAAAAAGTTGACTCTGCCACTGGTTCAGCCGGTATTTGTGCCAAGCAGTGCATTTCATAAAGGAAGGGAAAGTGGTATAGTTCTCTGTTTGACAGGCTAAAGGGAAATGTTTTTAACAGCTATAAAAAACCCCCAAACCTTTGTAAGACATGTAGTTTATAAATCAAAGCTCCAGAGGGAGATCGTTATCAAAGCATTTTATTGACGTAAACACATCAATCTTAAACATGGCCAGAAGACTGAAGTAACTTTTTTTAACTAACAGTTCCCAGTATGTGGTACACGTTGCTCCACCCAAGGAGCACAAGAAATACTGCTATTGAAGTGTGAAGTTCTTCCATGGCAGCAATGCCAGTATGGGAGCAGCTGGGAAGAAGTCTGCTTCCTCCCAGGGAGCAGGACTGTGTAGGCAGGCCCAAGTATGTGCAGAGTGGTGGAACCCGAGATAGATACACAAATTGTGTTGGTCTGCGGGCTCAAACACAGGGCGGGTTACTCTAGTGCACAAACACAGCCAGTTGCCCTAGGGAGCTCCTGTTGCAGTGCTTGCAGATCCAGAGTAGCAAATGCCATTGAGCCACCCCTGGAAGGTCTGCCCAGAGCCTAGGAATGTGAAACAGATGCCTGCTTCTGGCATTTTTCCTGGACTTGAATGAGACTGTTTGTATTCAACACAGATGCTCTAAAGGGTCATAGTTTCTGATGGAATGTGTCCTATTACAAAGCATTCCAGAAGCTAAATTTAGGGGTAGCTTTCTGGAAAAAAAAAAAAAAAGTCTGAAAAGAAGTATTTGTAAGAAATTAATGTCATCTTCTCCCACTTTATCTCCATACAGCAGGGGCCAGCTAACCATCATTAAAACCAGGGATTAGAAGATTTTTGCTGGAACTGACAGTATGTTATCATTCAGCAAGTATCCAAGCTGAAGGAGCCTGTACAGGAGGACCTGTGATCTTCAGCAAAGTAACTGTGGTTAGTCCTTACTGTTGTTTCTATCATCTCATAAATGTAACATCCACATCACTTAAAGAAACATGCCAGATATAAAGTAATAGAATTCTCCATCCCTAAGTAGCAGAAGTCAGACCTTTTCTTTGATATCCCACAATATCCCTTTTGATATCCCTTTACTGAAAAGTCATCCCCCAACTATAAATTTAAACAATCTAACCACATACCATTGCTTCTCTGAAAAGGTAAATGGTGCAAAGTACACCCCCAGGGTTACTGTGTGCAATGTGCTTCATGAGGCAACTGCCAACATCCCAATAAATTATTTAACACTATTATTATGTAGTGAAAGCCAAGCAGAGAGAATTCAACAAAGCATAATTTACTGATTCCTTCTCTATTTGGAGTGCAGGTTGAAGCAATCTGTTGGCAGCTGAGTCATCCTTCTGTTTTCCCCCAGCATGTATTTGTATTCCTTTCTTCCCCAAAATCTGGGAGGGCAAAACTCATTTTCTATTAAAAAAAACCCCAAAACCCAGAAAACTAAATCAAACCAACCAAGTGTGTTGCCTATGAGCTGCCTGCATGCATTGCCATGGAAGTTTCATTTGTGGTGCAAACGTTGGCCACGTCAGAACTAATCAGTTTAGTGATTCAGCAAGAGAGGCAGAGAGGAAAGACCGTATTAACAGCTGGGTCATTCTGCTCCTTTCCCAATATTAAAACTACAAAAATAATGTCTGTCTTGACAGTTTCATTCATACATCCAAGCAAGTGCTGATCACTCAAAGGATACTAAGCCAAATAAGCAGACTAAGGCTGCTGCGGAGTTGGCTTTCTGTAGAAGCCCTATGCAAACTGGGTGCCTCATTTCTGAAATGGGAAGATTTGGATTTGTTTCTCTCCTATTTTGCTATGTGACTTTAGACATCATACTTGGATCACCACTGCCTTGGTTTCCTCAGCCGATCAACACAGACTAGACTGAACTACTAGGCTGTGGTTTACATAGTGTTCATAAGCTTCACCATTTTTAAAATAGCATCTGGGATCCTCCAAGAAAAAAAATACCACTGAAATATAAAGCATAACCATCAAACAGGTGAGCACAATGTACTTTTTAAGAGGTGTGTTGCTCTCTAGGTAGCTAATGACAACGAAGGTAACATTGCCTGTATGCATGCACCAAAATACCCGATAGGGTTTCTTTAACAGGTTGTTATTTTTCCATGTGGTCCATGACTAGAAACATCTTTTACAACAGTTCAAATTAATTCTGGAATTCTATCTTAATGAATTTTTCTATTGTCAATTTCTGCCAAAGACAATAGTTCAGTAAATGCCACATTTCCTGGACCAGAAGCATAGGCTAGGTATTATTAATAAATCTCAGTACGTTTAAAGCAAACTTGTCATTCAGCTGTCAAACTTTGACAGGAAAGTCAGCAGAGAGTAGCGGGACTGTTCATACTGAAAACTATGAATGACTCTATCCTATACTGTGGCAGGTGCATGAAAACCCCCCCTACTTCAAAGATAGTGTATTTCCTCCCACAAGTAATGAGTAATTAGAAATAAATTGCATTTGATACAGGCCTAAGGAGCCCTCCATATTTGGTTAACCCAGGTTAATATAATGAAAACCAGGCAGATTATTTAGAAGTGTTTACGCTTATTGCTAAAATGTGTTACAACTTTGCACACATGAACTTACACAATTTTTGATGTCTGAAGCTAAAGTTATAGTAGCAGTCCAAAAGTCATACGAATGTAAAGATTTTAACTGCCAATTAGCTTGGTGTACTTGAAAAGTCCAGTGTGCAAAATCCACTTCTAAAATGCAGTTTATAACTAATTTTGGATAGTGAGAAACCAGTTAATAATAGGTTGAAACAAATCTTTTTAAAGTAAAATCCTACCTATGCAATGACTAATAAAAAAGTTGATTTTCATTGTATTTTTGTAGCTGCCTGTAAGCTAATTTCCCACATACTGGTTTTTGTAGGAGTAATGAAACATTTCTTTAATAAAATCCAAGTGACTTTATTTTGCTCATAGATATATGTATCGTGTAACACCAGCAACACCACTTATATACAAAATGAGTTTAACATAGCAGAATACCAACGATTTCCTCATTGGGCAATTATGATCGAGCAGACAAACACTGGTTCACCACTTCCAGTAAGTGAGAGTTTTCCAAAGCAGCTGCCACACGTTCTTTATCAGCAAGCTGTTTATTAACTGTGTAGAAAAAAAACACACCACAAGAAAAAGGTTAAAACATTGATATACAATGTCTTTTTGTAAAAGCATTTTACATCGAGACACATAATCACACTGTTGCTATGGTACTCAGGTAGACTAGTAATGCTGCAGGTGCTAAGTGCACCGCAGAGCTGCAGTCTGAAGCCAAAGCTACCGTGTTAACACAAGTTAAACCAGCAAGCTATTTATGATTCAGCAGCAGGGAGCTACGCACGTGTAGGTGTCAGATGAGAAATTTCCCCCCATTGTCTCCCATTTTCTGAGTCCTCTATAACCCAGGCAAATCAATGACTAGTTGAGAGCGCAGGTTGCCTGAGGAGATGTTTAAAGAACTGTACAGGACATACCTAACTGTCACTATTACACATTTCTGTTGTGTAGCAACCCCCAGAAGCTGACGCATGTGAAGTCCCAGATACTAAACAGCTGCTCCGCAGGTGTGGGAGTCTCTCTCCTCTCTAATTTTCAAGATTAGAAAAAATAAAGACGACCACAGAACAGAGCACTGAAAACCTTACCTGCATGCTCAGAGGCATGTGTTCCTGGTGTTATATGAACATCCAGCTTAAAAAGCATCACAAAAGAAAAAGGGGACAAGTTAACAAAACATTGGAAGCTCAAGTTTAAACTATTTAATAATAAAAATAAAAGCATAATAAAATGAGGGGAAAATTCCACATTCTTGCCAATACCAGTTACTGCATACAGCAGAACAAAAGAAAGTCGAAAATCAGAGAGTATTCTGCATTCCCAATTGCTTAAGCCTCCTTCAGACAGGGGCTGAGGCACCAATCTCTCCTCCTCCCATGCCGTAGAGCACTGCGGGTAACTTCCCCCCACCACCCCACTCGCCCTTGTCACGACTGTCACAGAACCCTAATTCCGTGTCAGTATTTTAGTCCATTGCCCTCTCTGGTTCCTGGAGTGTTTCCCTCATCCATAATATGAAAAAAAAAGCTCTAGTTATTTTTCACCATGAGTTAGTTTTTCTTTTTTTTTTTTTTCCCCAAACGCGAATCCCCCTCTTTTGCTTTCCAGCGCGATTTGATTACTCACCTTAAATCTCTCAGGCAGAGATCTGATCAATTTTACCTTTATGGAGAGGCCAATTAACGTTGCCATGCTGCAGTGAGGAATGGTGGGCGTGAACTCCACTGCCACCGTGCTTTCTGCATCATTCACCTGTTGAAAACCAAACACTTTCATGTACCAAACTCACCGGCTTTCCCCCAAGCTAGCTGGAGGCATTTTATATGAAACGCAACGTGAAACTGTGCTTTGCTGGTTGTCGTTTTCTTCACCGACATTTTAAAGCACTGCGTTTAGCTGTAGTAGGCTGCTATAGAAACCTCCCGTAACGTTAGCAAAAATCAACAGGTGGGAGGGCGCGCAAGGGCCCGGCGGGGACCTCACTTTCACTCGCACTTGCTCGACGACGTTCAGCTCCTCCAGGGTGAGGGGGTGCTCGGGGTCGTTAATGGAGCGGATGAGATGTTGCCGGGTTAAGGAAAGCGGCGCGGGGCTGCGCTGCACTGCACCGCCCTGCCCCCGGCCCGGCCC